GGATGGACGGCGTGCCCGCAGCCCCGGGATGGACGGCGTGCCCGCAGCCCCGGGATGGACGGCGTGCCCGCAGCCCCGGGATGGACGGCGTGCCCACAGCCCAAGGATGGACGGCGTGCCCGCAGCCCCGGGATGGAATGCCCATAGTCCGGCGCAGTGCCGATGGCAGTGCGGGCTCCTGCCGCGGCGCCGGCCCGCAGGACGGTGGGTTCCTGCTGGGGAGCTTTCCCTCGTGGCCGGTCCTGTGGCACGTTTAGGGAGGGCGTGGTGGTGGCTGGCACAAACCCAGGGCACCTCTGGCAGAAGTCACTCGCTGTGACCTGCTGTTGTTGCCAAATTTAGAGACGCTAAACACAGACACGGGGCCCGGTTTAGACAGGAGACGTTTTTTGCTGTGTGCACGGTGCAAGGTGGAAGTGTTACACAAATCAAAAAAAAAAAAAAGTACTCAAAATTCTCAAATATTTACAGAATCATAGAATTTATTAGCTTGGAAAAGATGTCTGAGATCATGAAGTCCAACCTATGACTGAACACCACCATGCCAACTAGACCACGGCACTAAGTATCACATCCAGTCTTTCCTTAAACACCTCCAAGGGGCAGTGACTCCACCACTGCCCTGGGCAGTCCATTTCAATTACACTAAATATACATTTTAGCAAACAAATCACAGCTGATTGGTGAGTTCTCCTATTAATTAGTATTTTACCTTCGGTTGGTTCAATTATTCTCTTGCTTCTCAAGCTATTTAGTCCCTATGCTCAATCTTTCTCTTTTGAGTTGCTGAGTTTTTTGAGTTGGTGATCAGTGGCAGCAGAGACTCCACCGTGGCTGGAATCAAGAGGCTGTGAACTGGAACTGATTCCTTGAATTATAAATGGCACAGGACCTGTGGCCAGACAGGTGACAAGAGACTCAGCAAGTGACAATAGACAGACAGGTGACACAGCAGGAGCTGAACACTTACCCAGACTATTGGATAAAAGCCTAGGTGATCCTTTGTTTAGGGTCACTCCTTTAAAGCTAGGATGCCTGTTTCACTGATAAGGCAAGACTGTTTACCAGCCTCATTCTCTGTAACTCTCTGGGTCAATTGTTGACTATTTCTGACTCTTTGGATGTCAGCATCATTTTAATACCTTCTCTCTGAGCTCAGATTTACAGGTTCATAATGGAGACATTGAAACTTTTCCAGAGTAAAAAACCGTGGTCTCAGATGCGATGTAGCTGCAGCCACAAACTCCTGTCCTGTGCCTGGGTCACTCTGGTCAGGCAGTGAAGGTTGGATTGCTCACATTAGTGATTCCCTGGTATGGCAGAAGTGCTGTCACATCTCCCACTTGCCTCCTCTTCTCTGAAGGCCGAAAAATGGACATTTTCACATTGACTGTAGCAGAGCTTCACACACATGGGTCCCACAGGCCAGATGGCTTTGTTGGAGTGGCACAAAGGGGTCACTTGCAGTGACTTCCTGTGGCTGCCTCTGGGCAAGGCCCCACCAAAAATGCATCCACCTCCAGATTTCGGGATCCCGTTGGCCAGGTGAACCAGACACTCCCTGAACAGTTCCCTTATGTGCCTCCTGCTATTGCAGTGGGTAATGTGATCACAGCCTGTATCAGAAAATCTCCAGACATGTAACAACAACAAAGACAGGCCTTTTGTGGCAAGTGGGTTGTTTGTGACTGACTTCATTTGCTATCTGAATGCATTTTGAAATTTATCTAAAAACTGCTGTAGGAGGGTAGTTGTTACCTCAGTGAATAATAGAAAAACACAACAAATACAGCTCCATCTGACCAAACTTCTTTTGTTCATTTATTATATACTTCAGATACATCTGAAAGCACTCCTAAATAAATTAATCTTGTATCTATATATTTATATATA